AGGTGAGCGGCGGGACGGGACGGGACGGGACGGGACGGGACGGGACGGGACAGCACCGGACCGGACCGGACCGGGCAGGACGGGACCGGGCAGGACGGGGCGGGACGGGACGGGACCGGGCAGGACGGGACCGGGCAGCGCAGCTCCCCGCGCCGCGAGCGCTGCCGAGCGGGGCACCGCGGCGAAGCCACCGCCCCGGAGCGAAGCCGCCGCTGCCGCCGCCGCCGTCGCCCTCCAGGAGCAGGTGAGCCACTGACTAACGCACATTGTGCTCTCGGCGACCCCACTGTGCGTGTGACAGCGGCTAAGCTGCTCCTCGGACACCGCTGTGCGGCCCCCCGGAGCCCCGCGCGCCCCCGGAGCCCCGCGCGCCCCACGGAGCCCCGCGCGCCCCACGGAGCCCCGCGCGCCACCGCAGGGCAGGCGGCGAGGCGCCGATGCCCGCTCAGTGACTAACCGAACTGCGCTTGCCAAGGGTGTGTTAACGGAGGGAACCGGGCCTGGTGCTGCCCTGCGTGAGTCACCTTCGAAGCGCGGCTCCCTGCGCCGCGGAGCGGGAAGCAGGACGCGGCTCCGCTTTCCGTTTCTGCCGGCCTTTCGCCTGCCCGCTCTCCGCGGCTGCACGTGTCGCACCGGGGCGCTGCCGGTGCCGGTGCCACGGCGGCGCTGGGCGGAGGCCGGCCGGGCTGCGAGCCCTCCGGCTGGCGGGGCAGCCGCCGCCGCCGCGAGGGCAGCGAGCGAAGCGCCGCGCCTCTGAAGTTCTCGCTGTGATGTCGCGCTGCGAGCGGAGCCGCGCGGTTCCAAAGCCTCCGCTTACGCCAGCAGCCGGCGGCTCCCGCGGCGGCGCCCGGAGCTGCCCGGTGCTCCTGGCTCGGCCCAGCGCCGCGCCGCTCTCAGGCCTAATCTCGTGCGTGAATCAGAAGTGCTCTGCTCCGTAAGCAGTTAAGTCAGACAGAGCAGCTGAGCGGCACCCTCTGCAGCTCAGCCCCGGCCGAGATGTTTCCCCGGCTCCCTCTGCGCTGCCCGCGCTCGGGCCGTGTTTTCCTCCCGCGTCCCCGGGGAGCATCTGCTCTCCAGAAGGAAAAATCAATCCCCTCCGTGCCCTGAGCGGGGTGGGTGAGTCCGGGATGCTCAAGCAGGCTAGAAAGGGAGGAAAACTGCCCCGACTGGCCCAAGCTGCTTTCATGCTTGCTCAGCAGCTGGCGGGGGTCACGTCCGAGGGATGGAAAACAAGCTCGGAGCGTTCCCAGTCCCGAGAGGCTCTCCGCTTCCCTGGCTGCTGCTCCAGCCGTTCCCACCGCCGATCCCTGAGCAGGGGGGAGCTCTGGGGTAGCTCTGTGGGAAGCAGGGAGAGAGGGAAACCCGGCGCTACACACCGTGCCCACGTACCCCTGTGTCTGTGCATTAACGCTGCGTCTGCGGGTTGAAACCCAAGTCCTAGAGCAGCAGGCTGCCTTGTGCACGCGCACCTGCACAGAACCACCCTGGACCGGGAAACGAGACCCTCGGCGGGGAAACCGGCGCTGCCTGTGGTCCTGTGCTGCCTGGTGATTAGCTGTGCAGAATGCAGATGCAGAAGCATCTCAGTGGAAGTCCCGGCCCCTGGCAAGATCTGCCCGCTCTGTCCCCATCAGGCAGCACCGTGGTACAAAAACTTGCCGCTTCCCGCCGCCCGTGAAGCCTCCTGTGCAGCTCCGGTACGGCAGGCGCTGAACTGGCATTTGTTTGTTATTTCTTGTGTGTGTGTCTCTCCCGCGAGCAGGGGACGCCAACAGCTGAATCCCTGTTTTCCCGTTCCTGTGGGGTGAGTCAAGACCAGCCTGCTGTGCTGTCACCTGAAATCTCCAATAAATACTGCACAACCACGTCTGGGTGTCTGTTACTGTCACGCAGGGCCCCGCGGGGCGAGGGCAGCTCCACGCGGCGCGGCTTCAACCCTCCCAGGCGGGGCCGTACCCACAGCGTCCCATGGGGCAGCCGTGGGGCGGCAGCCTTGAGGGGGCAGCCGTGGGGTGATGCAGCGGCCTCTCAAGCGGAGGTGCCGGCCCTGCTGGCCCCCAGCCAGGCTGCCCCTGCGCTGGGCTGGGCTTCCCCCACGGCTGCCCCACGGATGCTGTAAGCTGATCCCCGGCCCCACGGCGGCCCGGCGGGCGCTCGCCGCAGAGGCCGGGCAGGAGGGGCGGCTGCCGAGCGGGGCCGGCCGAGCGCTCTGTGGCGCTGGCGCCTTCCCGAGCGCCCTCCTCACGCTGCCCGCGGCCGAGCCCCAAGGAAGGGGCTGCCCGGCAGGAACGGGAGCACAGAAATTGTTCAGGAGTCAGGGGGAGTCAGTCAGTTAAATGCAAGCGGGGACTTATATAATACATCTTTTAAAAAAAAATCCTGCTGGCAGGAGGCTCCATGGGGAAAGAAACTTGCTCATCCATAAACAGGAAAATTTCCCGACCTCCTCTAGTGCTTTGCGGTATTTTTTTTCAGGGCAAGGTGGAGTGCTCTTGGTCTTCACCGTGGTGGGGGAGAAGGAGATACGTGTGCCCGTCCGCACAGGCCCAATGGAAAGTTGTGGTTGTGCGAGGAGGCGCCGCTGCCCCACACGGACCCAGTGTGGGGCTGACACGGTGCCCCATGCAGCCGGGCGGGCTCCTCCAGCTGCTCGCGCTCCCTCTCACGGAACTGGTGCTGAAGCCGGTGCCTTGCAAGTACTAGAAAGGCAAAGCCCGGCCTGGGAGCAAGCGCCAGTGCTGACAGCACTCAAGATTAAAAACAAAAAGACGGCAATAAGAGGCAATAAGAGGCAAACGCGACCGCCAGTCGGAAGCGTTCGGTGTCTGCCGAGCCCGGTGCCCGGGAGCATCCCTGTGCCGGTCCGCACCGGCCGCCGCGTGCGCTCGGCCCGGCACCGCACTCAGCACTGGATCGCCCCGCGGCGAGGACGCCTCGTACGCCGGGGTTTTGTTTTAAGGAAGAGTCTTGGCTGGGTTTTAATCTCGTAACAATGAGTAATTCCTTCCTCCCGCTCTGTAGTGGCCTAGAAAAGGACAGCATCGTCTCCACTGTAGCAAGAAGGCTTCTCCCAGGGCATGAAATTTTAATTAGGAACAATCGCGCAGCCTTGAAATGGGAATTGCAAGCAGCAAAAGTCAAATCATCAATAAAATATTCAATGGCAGAAATGTATTATTGACACGGCCTCCGGAGCAAGCGGGAAGGCCGCGCGCGGCGGCCCCGGGGCTTGTGCGCGGCCGCCCCGCCGCCGCGGCGCCCCCCAAGCGCGGGGCTCGTGCCAGCGCCAATATAGGTCACGGCAGCTGAGGCGCGCAGCCCCACGGCCTCGGCTCTCCCCGGCGCCGTTCTGCGAGCCCCGACACCCCCTCGGCCTCGGAGCGAGCGCAGCCCAGCCGGCCGCCGCCGCACGGGAATCGCCGCAAATCCTAGAGCGAAAGAAAGGCAGCGGCAGGGCCCGCTGCCCCGCACGTTTCCCACACACAGCCCCATTGTTTGGGCGGCACAATGGGGGCGGCGCGCGCCCAGCGGCAGCCCCGGCGGCCGCGCGGGGCTGGGGGGGTCGCCAGCCCCGCGCTGACCCGCACGTCGGCACCGCGGCGCCCACGGGGCGCTGGGGCTGCCGGGCCCTGCTGCCCGCGCAGGGCTCGGGGCTGCCCCCCGAAAGGGGCTCGCGAGGGCAGAGGCGCCGGCCGGGGCTCGCGAGGCCCCCGGGGCGCAGGCCGGGGCGGGAGCTGGGGGCAGCGGGCGCTGCGGCGGGAAGGAGCCGGCCGCCCTGCCGAGAGCAGCGGATGCAGGAATGAAGGGCTCGTTCTTCCCCGCGGAGCCGTGGGCCCGGAGAGCGGCCCCCACAGCGCCCGAGCGGCCGCCCAAGCCCCTCGGCCACGCGCAGCCGGGGGGCGCGACCCCCAGCGGCGGCGCCGTCCCGGCCCCCGGGGCTGCCAGCACCTGGGGCCACCTCCCCGCGGGACCCACATCCTGTGGGGCGCCAGAGCGAGCGGCTCCGCGCCCAGGGGTGCCCGCGAAGCAGCCGGAGCCTCAGGGCAGCCCCAGGCGGGAGCAGGGGCACACAGCCTGAGCGCAGCCGCCCCGGCAGCCCTTCCCGTGGGCTCCCAATAGGGCTGGGCTCAGTGGGGCACAGCCCGCGGCGCCTCCCGCTGCCTGGGACGGCTCTGCGGCTGCTTCGGCCTGCGGAAGCAGAAGGAGACCCAACAAAACCCCCTGCGTGGCCAGAGACCTCCCAGCGCGGTGGCCAGCAGGCGCCACTCACACACCTCCCATCAGAGGGGATCTTCGTTACCAGAAAATTTACCTTTTATTCCTACCTTTACAACACCTGGAAACCCGTTTGTGACTCATCTGAGAGCATCTTTTCTTCCCCTGGCAGACAGGGCCATTTCCTGGGAAAAAGGGATGTTTTCCCATGGGAAGCAGCTTCCCTTCCACTTAGCAGAGGAGGTTTCAGAGATGCAACGAGCAGGTCCAGCCCCAGGACCCAACCCAAATGCCCAACTCTATCCCTTTTAATTCCTGCTCATCTTGCACCAATTTAGAAATTTAGAATTAAAGATCCCTCCTTTCCCACGTGAATTCCCAGAGGACTCCCCCCAAAATCTGAGCAGCTCGGGGTCCTTTGACGGGAGGAAGGGATTTTAGCGGTGGGGCTGATGCCGGCACCCCGTGTGCGGAGCCTCGTGAGGTCCGTGCTGCACCCAGCAGCGCCCTGCAGGCCGCGGCACCGAGCCGCCCGCACGTCAACACTGCTCTCAGCTTGGGCGTTTCCTCAGGTTTTAAAGCTGCTTCTAGGAGAGACCTGGCTCCTGGCTCTGGAGGAAAATGCTGCCCCTTTCCAAGGCACGCTGCTTGCCTGAGTGTAAGGCTTTTGGTGTTGCTTTTCCCCAAGAGCACCCAGACGCTCCCTGCAACCTGTGCTGCCCTCCGACTCGTGCGCGAAGCCGGGAGGCGGCGCAGCGAGCGCGGCGGCGGCGGCGCGGGGCGCTGCAGGGGAGGGCCTCGTCCCCGCGCGCGGCCAGCACGGGTATTTTTAGCGCCTTTCCCCGGACACGCTCCTACGCGGGCAGCAGCGCCCGTGCGGGTGGCCACGTGCTCAGCGCCCACGCTCTTTCCCCCGCCCGCAATCAGCTGCAGCACGTGAGCTCAGCCCAAAGGACAGGAGCCGCTGGCCTCAAAGCGGTGGCTCCGCAAAGGAGCTTGCCGGGGCTCCTGCGCCCTGGCTGCTGCCTTTTGCTTGGGGGTTTTGGGAAGCCAAGGAGAGAGTCTCCCTCCCCATTCCAGCTCGGATTCACAGTGAGCACCATCCTCGTGCTGGCCTGTCCTAAGATGCTCCAGGCTGCAGCCCTGCATTATTAAAAAGCTGCCAGGTTGCATCCCCAAGACAGCCGCCGCTGCGGTGAGGACAAGCTTCCCTCGCTCTTTGTAAAGCGGTTTGCCGTCAAGAAATGATATTAAAAAAAAAAAAAAAAAAAAGCATTGGGGAGCGTAAGAGCTGTTTGGTCATAAAATACTTAAAGCTTCAACCCGCCGTGCAGGCAAATGCAAAGAGACGGCGCAGAAACGGCACGAGGCCGCGGCGCGGGACGCGGCCGCCTCGCCGCGGGAGCTGCCCCCCGGGCGCTCGTGTCCTCAGCCCCGGCGGGCGCGCGCCCCCAAGCCGCGCAGGCCTCGCACGGATCCTTTCCCAAGGTTTATTCAGCGCCGCGGCCGGGCCGCGCACGCTGCATTCACATACAGAAGCGTGCCCCACAGCCAGCACTGCGCCCCACGCACCCTTTGGGTTTTTTTTTTTTTTTTTTTTTTTTTTTTGCATACAATGCATAGGACACTTGGGAGACGAAGCCATGGGGACTCTGGGACCGCCTGGACAAGCCTGTCCCCTTCCTGGGTCCCCTCCCAGCCCCTTTGGCTTCACCACTAAAATCTGGTATGACCTGTTGGGACAGACAGACAGACGAAGACGAGCGTAACTGTACTGGCCATAACAGAAAGAAATCCAGAGGGAAACATCCCCAGCTCCTTCCTGCAAGGAAACAGCCTCTCTTTGCCCTTCTGCTACAGGTCGTGCAGAAAAAAAGGGGCAGAAAGCTGCCTGAGAGGCTGCTCCTGGGCACCCCGCGGCCACCGAAGAGGCTGTTTGCCAGATGGGCCAGGCCCGCGCTGGCCGGAGTCAGGGCACCGCTCCGGCCATGGAGCTGGTGGATGCCGATGGGGCCGAGCTGCAGCAAACGGCACCTTTCCAGGCTCCCCTTCGGAAAGCCAGCGTGGAAACCCCTGTGAGCGAGGTGAGGCGAGTTGAGACGAGGCGAGGCGAGGTGCGCAGCCCACCGGGGAGGCTGAGCGTGCAGCAGGGACCTGGCTCCAGCTCTGCCACCTTCCCAGCCCGGGAGCTCTCTGCTCCTCCCAGGAGCGAGGGCTCCTCAAAACCCGCCACGGGCTGCTGGCGAAGGTGAGTGCTCCCCGTTTGCCGCTCAACATAGAAAGCACTTTTAAAAAAATAGAAAGAGTCTGTTTGCATCTGCCGGGGAAGAAGGCCACTCTGGCTGGTTGGTTTCCATGTTCTTTTGCCATCTGCAAAAATTCTTCATCCGGCCATCCACACATCCACATCCATTCGTAATACAAAGCAGTAAAAAATATATATCTATATAGGGAAAAGGGTTCCATTTATACAGTTGTGCTCAAAGGGCAACTGCTCCCGTGCCGGCCGGACCCGTCTACCTCCAGATGCTCTGCCTGGACGACACCACTGCAAGACACAAGAGCAAGGGGAGTGACCGCGGTGCCGCGGGCGGACGCGCGCTCAGGCCGGCTCTGCCGGCGGCGCCCGGAGCAGCTGCGAGCCGCCGCGTTGCCGGCCCGCCGCGGCCCACGCTGGCACTGCTCGCTGTGACGCCCACGGAGCCCGCGTGCCCACGTGCACGCTCGGCGCTCAGGCCGGGCACCAGCGGCTCCTGCCGGGGCCTGGGCTTGCCCAGGAGCTGCTGGGTGCCGCTGTGGGGAGGTGAGTCGGTGCCAGCGGGCAGAAAGCCTGGAGGACAAGGAAACAATTCCCGACTCAGGGACCGTGGGTCCGGCTGCTGGCACCACCTTCTCCCTTCTCCGCTCGCCTCGGATTGGAAAAGGGTGGTCTCAGCACGCCGACCAAAGGCAACGATGCACTGTCCCGAGAGGGACCTGCACTTGGGGTGCAACAACCCTGTCCCCAGCGCCCAGCAGGTTAAAAGCACAGGAGAAAAATAAAAATTACAACAATTTAAAAAGATCACCCCCGGCGGCAGGTTTAAGCAGGGGGAAGCCAGGGCTGCCGAGCTGCCCCCAGCCCTCGGCCAACGCGGACGCAGCTCCCCGGGCGCTGACCTCCGTGCGGCGGCTGCGCCGGGGCCTCGCAGCCAGCGCGTCCCAGCGGGGCGTCCTCCTCCGGCCGTGCCGGCGCCACCGTCACCGTGGCTCCCGTCTGCTGAATGAACTGCTGCAGGTTACACTGCCGCAGCTCCTTGTTCAGCTCCTCCAGCTCCCGGTTCTGGGCCTGCAAAACACGGAGCAGGGAAGCAGGTCAGCGGTGCGGCCCGGCACGGCAGAGGTGCTCTTCGTCCTCCTCCAGGCCCCAGGGCACCAGAGAAGCTCAGAAGTTGGCCAGCACCTCCCACACATACCCACGGGAGAGCCCGCAGCCCGTGCAGATGTTGCTCTTAGTCCTCAGTCACCTGTGGGCCCCGAAACACCTCTAACGGGCCCTGCAAGCTGGAAGGAGACCTCTTCTCAACCCGCCTTGCACTGAGGTCTTAGTGCTGCTAAGGAGGTACCGAAAGGTTGTGCAAGCAGAACCAGTTTTCTCCCGGCCAACCCCAGCCAACTCCCCGTACAGGTCCCTTCGTCCCCACTGGGAGCTGGTGACCAGCTGTACCTGCAGGTTCCTCTCTGCTTCCTCCAAGGCCTTCTCCACGCTGGCCAGGTTGCTCTCCAGCTGCGTGCCCTGCTTAACCTTGGCCTCCAGATCCCTCTTCATTTTAGCAGCCATGTCCTCCAGATCTGCGGTGCTCGGCCCGGGGGTCTCCTTGCCCCTCTTGGCCCTCTCGGCCATCTCCCACTGGATCTCCTTCTGCAGGGCCTCCGTGCGGGCGCTCAGCTCATAGATCCTCTGCGTGTAGTCCTCCAAGCTGGCCCGCAGGCTCCTCACCCGCTCCTGCCTCTCACGCTCACACTCCTTCTCCAGCCGCAGCTCGCTCTGCCAGAACTCCTCCTCGCCCAGCTCCGTCTCGTTGCGCCGCACGAGCTGCTCCAAGAAGAAGATCTCGTCCTCCTGGCTGGGCACCCTGCTGTGCTCCCAGTGCCGCAGGTCCATCTCCAAGGAGTCCTCATGGACCTCCAAGGAGTGCAGCTGCTCCTGCTGGCGCAGCACAGTCTTGAACAGCTCCTCCTTGGAGGCCTGACCAGCCCCAGCGCCCTCCTTGAAGTCCATCCCTTCCCACACATGCTGCCTCCACCGGCTCTTGGCGAACAGCTCGCCGGAGCCCATAGGGCCCAAGTTGAAGGTCATGGCTTTCTTTGGCTCCCGGGAGCGGGGCACTTCGGTGCTCATGGGCCTGGGTTTGATGGGCAGGCTGGCCCGGATGAACGTCCGCTCGGGAGCGTGGGGAGCACCGTCCGAGGAGGGCCGCTCGGCCACGCTGGGCCCCGTGCGCCGCAGCACGAACTGCACGTCGTTCGCATACTGCCCGCACTTGGCCAGTGACTCCAGCGGGCACTCGAGCGGCAGGAGCTGCCTCTCCTTCTCCCGCAGCTTCTGCACCAGGACATAGCGTCCCGTCTGACCTGGGGAGAGGGCACAAGCGCGTGAGCCGGCGAGCCCCGAGCCTCACACCACCCCGGGCTGGTACAGAAACCCCCCTCGCAACCGCATGGAAAACTGCTTGGGAGAAAACAACCCCCCAAAGGGTCTCGAGGAGGAGGAGAAGGAGAAGAGATAAGCTCCTTAATCATGTTAGAAGGGAGGCAAGAGGAAAAGGAGAGTCAGAGAGCTTGGATTTTCACGGCTGAGCCTCAAACCTGTTGCCAAGGGAGAGTTCCCAGCTGGAAGCACGCACGGCAAGCGCCAGCCGGCGTTTCAAGCTCAAGCCACTAGACGGCAGGATCGGCCGCGGGCAGGCGGAGGCCGGAGCCGGGCGCGCGCTGCTCACCTATGGCCCGCGCCAGGGCGACCACCACCTCCTGGCAGGTGGTTTGCTGGGAGACGCCGCACACCACGCGCTGGATGCCGTCCACCCAGACCTTGAGCTCCATGCCGCGGCCGCCGCGGGCTCAGGCTGCCGGCGCCGCCATGGCGAGCTCGTCCTGCGCGCGGGGAGCCGCCGCCACCGCCGCTGCCTCGCGCCCTCTGCAAGAGACACGGCGCTGTCACCAGCAGCGCGGCCCGGGCCCCAGGCTGGCACCGGCGGCAGCACCAAGCCTGGCTCCTCCCGGACCCGCTCCGTGCCCGGCACTTGGGAGACCGCCCCCGGGAGGAAGCCTGCAACGAGATTCTTCTTTCCTAAATAAACAAATAAAAGCAAATACAGGTTTTATCCTCCCCACAGCATTGCTTATTTCTGTTGTTCAAAGCATCAAGACTAGAGGTCTCTGCAGGACAGAAGACGGCTCCCACCTCCAGCAGCATCGGATTTTTAATGGAGACACTGGAAAGGAAGAGAAGCCAGGAGGAAGAGACGACTCTGCTACACTGCTCTCGGAGGTGGGTCTGACGGGGCCACAGCAAAACCAGTTATCAGAGGGGGCAGCACCCACCCCAGGGACCACCTTGGAGCAGCCAAACCAAGGCAGACATTCCCATCAGTCAGAGGAACTGCTGGAATGCCAGCTGCCCATCCCCAATATCCACATTTATCAGAGGAAGGCTCCCCCACATGTCCCCGCACGGGCAGCACCTGGAGAGGGACGCGCGCAGGAAAACCAGCCCAGTGAAGCCCAGCTCCTGCCAAAACGGGAGCTGTTTTGGCCCAACACTGGGAAAACAAAAAGGACCAGAAAAGGCAGAGGGCGACCGGGGGGTTGCTGTGGTCGGAGACGCCCCGCGTGCCGGCCGCCAACGCCCGGTGACTCCCGCGCTCCTCCCTGGAGCTGGCACGGAGCAAAGTCCGCCCCGCGACACCCGGCCCCGCGTCCCAACTGGCCGGCGGGAACCAGCAGCTCCAAGGAAAACCAACAGAGCGCACACACACACACACACACACACACACACACACACACACAGAACTACCCTCCTCGCCCACTCCCCCACGTCAGCGCCGAGCCCCACGAGCCGCCGCGCGGCGCCGGGAGCTCCCGGTCGCTGCCACGCCGCCCGTCACCGGCCGCTTTCCTGGGCAAGGAGACCGGGGCTGTTGCGCCGGGAGCCCCGCGCCCGCTGCGGCCCCCGCCGGCGGCACCTCCCTCGTGTCGCGCGCCGGCTCCTCCAGCCGCTCTGCGCCAGCCTCGCGCAGGGGGCAGCGATTACTCACCTCTCAGGGGGGAAAACAAGCAAATAAAACCCAAATAAATAAACAGAGTCAAATCGGCGCCCCCTGCTCTCCTCTCTCCCCCAGCCTGTTCCGGGCAGCACCTTTACGGCAGCCTCGGCTGCCTCCACGTCGCTGTCTGTTCTCTCCCCCTTCCCTACAGATTTTGCTAAATCGTTTTTATCGAAAGCAGATTAACAAAGTGACTAATTTGCGGCTCCTGTCCCATGTGATTGGTCTGAAATGGGTGGTATGGATGATTCATAGAGCTTCTTCACTGAATTTCCTAACTGGGAATTGAAATTTCAGATGCCAACAAGAAAAAAAAAACAAAACACAAAAAGAAAACAAAAAAGCCTCCAAGGGCTCACAGCGTTTTTTCCCCTCAACATCTTGATCTCAATAAGAGGGAAAAAGCACAAGCCCCATAAGTTTTCGAACTGCATCTGAACGGAGCTTCGACCGCACATAAATCAGGGCCAGTTTTAAAAGCTGGAGGTCGAAGCCAACTTAAAATTACCTTGATTATAAGGAGACAAAATCCAAATCCATCAGCGCTGCTGCCGAGCAAGGCCTTTCACATCTTCCCTGCAAAGACGTCTCGGCCAACAAAAAGGAAAACACAAACGTGTCCCCTCATCTCGCAGAGGCCCAAGCGGCCCCGTCGGCCTCGGCTTCCTCCCCGGCACAAAGATGCTGAAATTCCACCCGCTGCGGTAACGTGAGCCCCGGCGCGGAGCCCGGCGCAGGAGCTCCCCAAAGCCGCCGGAGCTGCTGCAGGGCGGGAAAGCTGCTCTGCGGGCCCAAAACAGAGACCACGAGCCGACCGCGGGCCAGGAGAGCTGCTCCACGGACCCAAACTGGAGACCAGGACCTGAACTGCACACCAGGAGAGCCGCTCCATGGACCTGAATGGCCCGCTAGTCGCCGGAGAAGGCACCAGCCGCGCGGCCCGGCTCATGTCCCCGTTCCAGGGGGCCCAACAAGCAGCCCTGCAGCTGCGGTATTTCCACGGCATTGCCGGAGCACCATACTCCCGCCCCTGCTGTTTTATTCCCAACCCGGAGCTGAGCTTCCCCTCTGGGCCCGCTCCACCCCAGCGGCCTGAGGGACGCGCCAGGCTCGACACCTCGGTGATGGGCCACCCGCTGGCGGTGGCTTCGGGGCGAGCTCGGGGCAGCGCCGGCCCCAGGGCAGGCAGGCACGTGGGAAGGGCCCGCACGTGCCAGCCCACGCGTCGAGTAACTATTTATTGCAGCAGGGGAAGAAAAAAGGGAGAAACAAAGAGGAGAGAAAAACAGCAAAGGAAAGCGAGCGGCAGTGCAGGGTGAGTCGTGCACGCTGGCCGCGCAGCCGGCGCGCTGGCCCCGCCAGGGGAAGGCACCACGCGCCCCACACACACCAGCCGAAACGCACCGCGCGTCCCCCTGGTCGGGGGACCCCTGCCCCACGGCGGGGTGTCTCCTGCACGAGGCCTCCCTGCCTGCAGCTCTCCGGGACCCGCGGCGCCGCTCCAGGCCGGATGGAGCCGTGCGCGAGCAAGGCGCCAGCTCGCAGGTCGGAGCGAGGGCTCCCCGCGTGGGGTGAAGATGAGTTTCGGCTCCGCGGGCCACACGCGGCCTCAGCCGGGGCAGAGGGCGCCCGGCCCCGCGCTCCCGCCGCGCGACTCGGGGAAAGCAGCTCGGGAGAGGACGAGCAGAGGGGAAAACGCTCTCCACTCTCCGCACGCGTCCCGGAGACCGCCCCCATCGCTGCCGTCGCCAAGGAAACAGGCTGCCCGCACCACGCTGCCGCCGCCGGCGCCCGCTCCGCAGCCCCACAGCCCCGCGGCCGGGCGGCACCTTCGCGCCGTGACCGCTCCGTCGCATCCCGTCCTGTCCCGCGGAGGCCATGGCGGCATGTGGAGCACACGCAGGGGGCCCCAGCGGCAGGGAGCAAACGGGTGCTGGGGACCCGGAGAGCTGGCGAGAGCCCGAGGAGCCGCGGAGCGACCAACAGGTGCCGCGAGGGCGTGCGCCCTGCTCCAAGGGGAGGCTGCTCCACGTCTCCAGCCACCGCACGGGCAGCACAAGCACCGCTCACCCCTCGGGGCCGTTAAGCCCCATTCGGGGAAGAGGCGGCAAGTCACTCGGAGCTGGGATGCAACAGGCAGGGCGCTCCAGCGCGCCCAAGGGCGCCTCTTTGGGGACGGCCGTGAGAGCTTCCACCCCTCGGCTGAGCCCTCCGCGGCTCTGCCGCCTCCTGGCTCGGAGAGGGTCTCAACACACGGTGCAGCCCTGCCGGGTGCGCGACCCACGTGGGCCTGGCTCGCGCGCAGGGCCAGCCGACACGGCAGGACAGGCAGCCTGGCGCGGGATCCGGGCCGCGCTGCCCGCGTTAATGACTAACCGCTCCCGGCCTCGGCGGTGTCGCAACGCGGCCGCGGCGCTGCGGGCAGGTCACAGAGCCCGCCGCCGAGCGAGGCCACCCCAGCGCTCGGCCTCTTCCTGGAACAGGCTGCACCGGGAGGAGGTGCCCAAATCCCGGAGTCCTCCCACGAGCCTGGGGCCTTGGGGTCTGCGCCCCACGAGGCCCAGAGCACCCCCAGCACAGACAGCCCCGCACTACTGCACCTGGTGTGGCCTGCGACACGAAGTAGCTCCCGCTTCCCAGGACGGGAAGGCTCCCAGCCCAGGAGGAATGTGGCCGGTCCGGAGACCGGAGGAGAGCCACTCGGCCGAGCAAACGCTGCGAGAAACCCAAGCTCTCCGCGCCCCGCTGCTGCGGGGCTGGCACCGGCAGGGCCCAACCCAGATTATTCCCCACTTCCGGAGTAGCTCCCGGTTCCCAGGAGGTCTCGGGAGGGAGCGCCCAGGCCGTGCAGGTGCCGCTTCCGTTAATATTCCCTGCTGGTTTGCTGGAGGAAAAGGCCCCACGAGCGGGTGCAGCAGTGACTCCCGCTCCCGGGCCGTCCTCACGCAGAGCCTGGGTGCGCAGGGTGGGAGGCCGAGACGCCAGCGGGGCGCCCGCGCTCGCGCCCTGCCGCCTTCCCCATGGGGACAGCAGCAGCCCCGGGGCTGGGGGTCACACTGTGGTTTTCACCTGCTGCTCTCGAGGACACCCCAGCTCCAGGGCAGCCCCACGCAAGGGCTGGAGCCCCGAATGCTGCAGAGTGGCCGGGGGCAGCACCCGCCCCGGCCGCCACTCGCGGCCCAAGGTGCGACGGTTGTTGGGCTGTTTTTTTTCCTCCTTTCAAAAAACAGCAGCCGGTTCCCGCGCGGGGCGGGAGGCCGCGGGAGGGACCGGCGGGAGCCGCGGCGGCACCGGAGGCCTCCGCGCAGGAAGCGAAATGAAAAAAAAGCGGGGAGGGAAGTAGAAAAGAAAAAAAGAACACAAGTAAATAAACCCGAAACAAAGTAAAACCCGCCAAGCGAAACGCAAACGCGAAACAGGGTAAAAGCGCAAAGCCGGACATGGGGGCCACGGAACCCCGGGGCCACGCGCGGCTCCGCCGGCAACTTCGCGGGGCGGCGCCGGGGTCGCGCCCGGCCGCGCGGCTGCTCCCGCTCCCGCGGCTGCTCCCGCTGCCGCTCCCGC